AAATAATGTAGGAGGAATCACTCTACCTGATATTAAGGCTTCTATATGTATGCATTTTTGGTGGTACGGGGGCTTGAACTCAGGGCCTTGCACTTGTTAGGCAGCACTCTCTATCACTTGAGCCATGCCCCAGCCCTTTTTGCATTTAGGTTATTTTTCAGGTAGGGTGAGAGCCCAAGAGCTCTCTGGTATATCTTCTTCATAAACTAAACCCTCAGCTTCTATGCAGGCAAGGTTGGGATTCTTTGTGTCTAACTTTCTCCACAAATATTACCACCAACACTCCTGTTTTCAGTCTTCTCTTGCATTTTCAAAGGTACCTGGGGGTGCAAACCCTGTATCTTTTCTGGGTGTTCTAATATACATAAGGGTTGCACCTGGATTTTCCATTGCTGAGGCAGGGTTTGCACCACCAGAATCCATAGTGTTCCAGAATCCACAGTGTTGCTGCTATGTCCCGCGGGGTATTTCATGTCCTGTTACTTTATGGTATCTGTATATATATTTTCTCTTAATTCCACTACTGTAACTGTAGTGAGGTTTGGGAGGAAACAAAAGAAATGTGTGTACTTAATCTGCCATTATTGGCTGGAAGGCTCATCTCACTTCTCTTGGATCAGAAGCAGTGTTGAGCGGTGTTCCGTGAAAATGAGCAAAGCATTAAGTCTGTAGTTAGAGAGGTTGGCAGAATTGACGTAGATCAGTGGGTCTTTAGTAGGGCTCTCATCAACTTCAGTCCTAAGAAACCCAGGGTCTGTTAGCCACCCCCAAGGATAGGTCAGACCTAATTACCATCCACACCTGCCCTGCTGTCTATTGTGGTAACCTTGCTGTCTTCCTCAGCACTATAGCCACTGTCTGGCCTCTGCCACCTCTGAGACCTCAGCACATTTCTTGAAGGAAGGGAGGCATTTCAAAGGCAGAGGCTCCCACCCACATCCTTGGCTGACAAAGCTCATGTCAAAGTTGTCAACATTCCTCACCACCTCATTCCTCAGTGTCATTGAATGTCCTCTAAGCCCTCTCAGCCAACATATATGGGGACAAATGAGTGACACATAACAGAGTCTCTCTGACATTCTGCCTTTCTAACTTTGGATTCCTTTGTTCCTGTCATGTGAAAGCATTTCTGGCAGCTGAATTTCTTACAGTCTCGGCCACCTTCAGTCCAAAAGTCAGCAGAGCATCAAGCAGACCATCAGGAACACTCTCAGCTGCTTAAGTTCACATTCAAGGGCTTGACAGACTCCAGAAATGAATTTGTATGTCACACACAGCATTCTCGGCAGCAAACCATATATGCCTCACAGGTGGTTCAGGATTAGACAGGCTTTCCTCAAGAAAGCCCAAGAGTCAGGACCACAGACCACACAGCCCATGGGGCCAGACCCACAGCTAGTACAGTGGATAGCGAAGGGTGGGCTCCATCCATTCTAATGGTGGTGCCTTTCAGCCATCTTTGCCAAAATATGGATTCTGCATGCTCCTGCATTGCCTTCCGACTTCAGGTTTGGTTTCTGATGGAGGTTGGAGCTCAGTCACACAGATGTATTCTCTGGGAAGCTGGGCAAACAAGTTCTGGTTTCTAACTCAGAAAAGGAGGACTGCTGATATGGGCACTGTCTGAAACACAGGAAAACTGTTTAAGACATTCAAGGAGATCACCAGGTGTGGCAAATGTCTGCCAAAAATGACATAGCATGACTACTCAAGCAAATATTCAACAGTATTACTTGCTGTAATGAAGTACCTGAGGCAGGTTATTTATGGAGAAAAGAGGAGAAAAGAGATTCAAGAGCTTGGTGCTTGCATCGGCTCAGTTCTGGGGAGGGTTGGCTTGGCTGAATCACACCATGGTGAGTGGCAGAGGTGGGAGCAGGCGCCGGAGTGATCACATCTTGATACAGGAATCCAGGGAGACTGAGTGGGGCTGGGCTCAGGGTTTTATGACAACCATCAACCTTCTTCTGAGAACTACCAAGGGGTCCTATGACAACCATCTCCGTCCCTTCGTGGGGCAAGGCCTCCCATTAGGCCCCACCTCTTTTCTTTTTTTGATGGTACTGGGGTTTGAACTGAGGTCTTACACTAGCTAGACAGATGATCTACCATTTGAGTCACTCCTCCAGCCTTTTTTTGCTTTAGATATTTTCCCAATAGGGCTCATGTGAATGACTACGCTGGCCTAGACCTAGACCCTCCTATTTATATCTCATGCATAGCTAGAATGACAGGCATGCATAACCACACTCAGCATTTTATTGGCTAAGATGGGGTCTCAGGAACTTTTTGCCTGGGCAGGCCTTAAACAATGATCCTCCCAATCTCTACCTCCCATGTAGCTGGGATTACAGATGTGAGTCCCACACCTCCATAGGCTCCACCTTTTAAGGCCTACTACCTCCTTCTGAGGTGTTCAAGCCTCAAACACATGAACCTTCAGGAGGACAAACATCAAAACCATAGCAATGACTTGAGAGTTATTGACGCTGATGATGGATATATGAGAGATCCTAATTCTTTCTATTTTTGCCTTTTCCACAGTTATAATTTAAAAGTGAATAGCGGTGCCCCATGTTACTCGGCAGAAAATGAAGTCCTTACAGTGGCCCACGTATCCTTCCATGATGCCTCCCCCAGCCTTTCCCCTTATCTCCTCCTATGTACCTGGGCATTCACTGCTGGAGCCCCACCGACTTCCTTGCTGTTCTTGGGACATGCCAGGTGCTCTTCTGCCTCAGGACCCTTGGTCAAGCTGTTCCCTCTGCCTGGAATGCCCTATAGTTTGACCTTGCTGCTCCAATATAGTCCTCTCAGTGAGTTCACTGATTATTCCACTTAAAATTGTTATGATGGCCACCTGTCACTTCCCATGTCTCCTTCCCTGCTTCACATGTCCCCATAGCATTCACCATCATCTGAAGTCCAGTATAACTATTTATTTGCCCCCTCATAAGACCCATTCCCAACAAATGCAAGTTCCATAAAGAAGGGAATTCCTGCTGGGTGGCAGTGGCTCATGCTTGTAATCCTAGCTACTCAGGAGGCAGAGATCAGGAGGATTGTGGTTTGAAGCCAGCCCTGGGAAATAGTTCAGTAGACCCTATTTTGAAAAAACACATCACAAAAAAGTGGGGGGGGGGGCGCTGGTGGAGTGGCTCAAGGTGTAGATCCTGAGTTCAAACACACCAGTATCGCAAAAAAAAAAAAAGACAGGAATCCCTGCCTGATTTGTTCACTGCAGAATTCTCAGCATTTACTACAGTGCACAGTAGGATCTCGATGAATGAACAAGCCATGCTTAAATAATCTAGTGGGATATTTGGTAGGATATTTATCATTTGATAAATATAAGTTAATTGTTTAGTTGGAGTCTTGTGTCCTGGGTTTTGGAAAAGGAGACGACCATTACTGGATACTTTTGTTCATTTTGAGAAGCATCAAGGTTGGGAGGGATTCCCAGTCTTCAGAGGTGGGCACATCTACTTTGGCTCTGTCATGTGGTAGCTGTGTGACTTGGCTAAAGTGCTGGCCTCTCAGAGTCGAGTCTCCTCACTGATGGTGCTTACTAGAAGTGTCCTGCCGTCTGGGCACCCCCTGCCCTCCCTCAGTGAGCTTTGTATTTTCAGCAACATGGGCAGGGCTTTCTCCAGGGTCTGCTCAGGTGTGTCCCTCTAGGACCTGCTGGTGGGGTCAGCTGCACTGGTCAGGAGGGACAGGCAGTGACATTGTTGGGATGTCAAAAGAGAGGTGACTCAGTCCTGGCCCAGCCTAAGGTCTTCTCTCCTATCCCCCCACCACGCCCGAGGACATAAACAAATGACTCAGAAGAATAGTGGGGGAGTGCCCCACAATAGCTCATACCAGTTTCCCAGGAACTAAATTTAACCCACAGCTGCAGTCTTTGGCACTTTGGGAACAAGTTAATCTTGGTGGCTGAGCCTGAGGTGTGTGTGTTGGGGTGTGAGAGGGGTGATCCAAAGTCTGGAGCAGGGTGGGTATTAAGACTGGCTGTCCTGGGCCTCAGCCCTGAGTCCTTAGACCATACACAGTGTCAGCATCCTGAGGCCAGGCAGGAACAGCCAGGACTAGTGTGGATGAAGGGCAATGAGCACAGACAGCCAAAGTGCTGGAGTATTAAGAATGTCACATTTGGACATTAGAATTCAGAAGGTTACTCCCATAGAATGTTAAAACCCTGAAGGTCCAAACACCTAGAATAGTAGATTTCTAGGGAATTAACTTGCAAGCACTCTGGACACCTTAGAATATTAGAACCCTCAAACTGAGTCCTCCCAAGTAACCCAGTGCTTCTGAACCTTAGCAGAGCTGAGTGAAGCTCTTGGAGTCTAACTATTCATCTCTTTGGGTGAGAGGGGCTCTGAGGCTCACTACCCACCTGACCTGCACCAAGCCCCACAGGAAAGTGGTGACCTTATTTACCTAAAGGCTTTCTTGCAAGAAGGAGGGTCCCAGAGCTGGGGCAGAAACAAGAAAAGCTCTTCTCATTTTGAAGGTGGAGCAAAAAGGTCCCTTAAGAGTGAGTGCCATTCCCAAGTTCATGGAGCAGGAGACCTAAACTCACTGTGTCCAGGGGAGGCTGGAGTGAGATATGTGCCAGAGAGGGAGGTGGAGGGCACCAGGGTATAGAGGCCCAGAAGCAAGAAGGAATGGAACTCCTGGAAAGGGCTCCAAAGCTCCCCCTCCCTGGATTGAGAGTCAGATCACCTGGGTCACTCTCTCCCACAGGGAGATCTCCCCACCAACGGATCCAGAAGTAAGACCTCACTAGGCTCCATTTGGAAATGAGGCAAGGGAACATTCATCTTTCTGGAAGAGCCCAGAGAACCCGTGTTTGCCCCATGATCCCCCAGGGCTGAGTCAAGGCTGCTCCAGGAAGGGGCCTCTACCCAGCTGTCCCCTGTGCGTCATATGCAGGAGGCCAAGAGGCTCATCTTACAGGGCTGGGACAACCTCTATAGATAGCCCTGTGCAGACAGCTGCGCAGTCTAAGTGTGGCCTAGCAGGAAAGCAGAGGTGCAGAGAGGAGCCCTTGGCACGGTCGCTGCACCCTAAGGCACCCACCATGACGCTGGGCTTGGAGCAGGCCGAGGAGCAGCGGCTGTACCAGCAGACGCTCCTGCAGGATGGACTCAAGGACATGCTGGACCATGGCAAGTTCCTGGACTGTGTGGTGCGGGCCGGCGAGCGCGAGTTCCCATGCCATCGGCTGGTGCTGGCCGCCTGTAGCCCCTACTTCCGGGCGCGCTTTCTAGCTGAGCCAGAGAGTGCGGGAGAGCTGCGCTTGGAGGAGGTGTCCGCAGACGTGGTGGCCCAGGTGCTACACTACCTGTACACCTCGGAGATCGCGCTGGACGAGGCGAGCGTGCAGGATTTGTTTGCCGCGGCGCATCGCTTCCAGATCCCGTCGATCTTCACCATCTGCGTGTCCTTCCTGCAGAAGCGCCTGTGCCTCGCCAACTGCTTGGCCATCTTCCGCCTCGGCCTTCTGCTCGACTGTGCGCGCTTGGCAGTGGCTGCCCGCGACTTCATCTGCGCGCGCTTCACGCTGGTGGCCCGCGACGCCGACTTCCTCGGGCTCTCAGCGGACGAGCTCATCGCCATCATCTCCAGTGATGGCCTCAACGTGGAGAAGGAGGAAGCGGTGTTCGAGGCGGTGATGCGGTGGGCAGGCAGTGGCGACGCTGAGGCTCAGGCAGAGCGCCAGCGCGCACTGCCCACGGTCTTCGAGAGTGTGCGCTGTCGCCTGCTGCCACGCGCCTTCCTGGAGAGCCGCGTGGAGCGCCACCCGCTCGTGCGTGCCCAGCCCGAGTTGCTGCGCAAGGTGCAGATGGTGAAAGATGCGCACGAGGGCCGTCTCACCACGTTGCGCAAGAAGAAGAAGAAGGGAAAGGAGGCAGCTGGAGCCAAGGAGACTGATAAGGGCACAGCCAAAGCTACAGCAGAGGAGGATGAGGAGGATGAGCGTATCCTCCCTGGGATCCTCAATGACACCCTCCGTTTTGGCATGTTCCTGCAGGACCTTATCTTCATGATCAGCGAGGAGGGCGCTGTAGCCTATGATCCAGCCGTCAACGAGTGCTACTGCGCCTCCCTCTCCACCCAGATTCCCAAGAACCACGTCAGCCTGGTTACCAAGGAGAACCAGGTCTTCGTGGCTGGGGGTCTTTTCTACAACGAGGACAACAAAGAGGACCCCATGAGTGCTTACTTTCTGCAGGTGCCTGGCTGTCTTGGGAGGGAACAGCTTGGTGCTGGGTTCTGAGCTGCATGACTTTGGTGTTGCAGCCAAACCTAGGGATGTGAGCCCTAGGTTGGAGCATGCTGGAGGCCCTGGTTCTGCACTGGGTGGGACTGGGGTCAGGCACAGTGAGAAAGAGGAGCAAGGTCAGCCTAGGAATCCTAGGCAGGGCCTTTGTATTAAGGCCAGGACTGAAATAGAATGTCCCAGACAGAGACCACCCTACTTACTCCTCTCATATTGATGAGGAAACTGAGGCTCAGGGGAAGGACCCGGAGAGTGGAGTGCCCAGTCCAAGCTGGGGGTGTGACTGTGATCTCACAGGGCAGAGGGAATTTCCTGGAAACTGGCCATGTAGGTTTGAGCCTTGCCGGTTGGGTGGGATTTGGAGATGTGAAGGGGAGAGCAGCATTGTTCCCAAGCATGGACTCCTGAGCAAGGGACGGAGACAGGAAGGAGCCTGGTGAGTGTATATGGGGGAGTCTGACCAGTGAGGGTGTGGAGACAGCTTGGTGCTAAAGTTAAGTTCGCAGTCCTTTCACTTGGACTAAGGATGAGGGTTGGGGCAGCCACACCAGCCAGGCCAGCAGTGTGGGCACATAGATTATTCTCACTGGGCTTCTGTTTGTAAGTGGATTATTATTCTTTCTGCTTGATAAGGTTGTTTGAAGGTTAACTGATACTTACGAAGTGCTCATCAGCACAAGATTCAGCTAGCAGAAAACTTTCCAAAAAGATGAGCCACTAGCATGTGTATGGTAAAGCTATGGACGAGGACAGGATGGAGGACTGTATTTTAAGTGGTGGTGGCTATACTTGGAAGTTTCCAGTGCAGTGGAATGGGCTGGCAAGCAGTGAGCCTCGGTGGGGCAGTGGCACTGGAGAAGGGCCAAGACTGCAGCCGGACTCCCTCTCAGAGCACCCTTCTCAGTTCCCCCTGGTGCTGTCCCAGCTTGCTCTCTGCCCTACGATGCCAGGAAGGGCACTGTCTCAGAGGACCCCAGGCAGGCTGCGTTGGCTCTCTCTGGAGATCGGGCTCTTCTATGGCTGGGGTGGCCGGATTCTGCTGGGCTGGGGCTGGGGGCACGCAGGGGCGGGGAGGTAGCTGACCGGACCCTCGGCCCACAGTTTGACCACCTGGACTCGGAGTGGCTGGGGATGCCGCCGCTGCCCTCGCCGCGGTGCCTCTTTGGCCTGGGAGAGGCTCTCAACTCCATCTACGTGGTCGGCGGCCGAGAGCTAAAGGACGGCGAGAGCAGCCTGGACTCGGTCATGTGCTACGACCGGCTGTGAGCGCGGACTGGGGGCGGGGCAGTATGGCTGCGGGATCTGAGAGGCACAGGTCGCCGACGGTGGGGGCGTGGGGTGTGGGGGATTGAGGCCAGGGGAGGTAAAACCCAGGGCTGGGGCGCAGAGGAGTTCCAGGTATGTATTGGGTGCGCCCCGAGTATGTGCTGGATGGGAGGATGAATGCAGAGGGCCCGACTGGGAGCACACCTGAGCCGGACGTCGGTCCCCTCCTGTCCCTCCAGGTCGTTCAAATGGGGCGAATCGGACCCGCTCCCATACGCCGTGTACGGACACGCGGTGCTCTCCTACATGGACCTTGTCTACGTCATTGGCGGCAAAGGCAGCGACAGGTGAGGCTCCAGTTGGAATGCGCCCGCAACAGCTGGATACAGGTTCAAACAGAAGCCAACCCCCCCACCCCCACCCCAGGCAGTCGAGCTTTGTCCCGGCTCCGATCCAGCCTCCCTCCGTCCCCCAGGAAGTGCCTGAACAAAATGTGCGTCTATGATCCCAAGAAGTTCGAGTGGAAGGAGCTGGCACCCATGCAGACCGCCCGCTCACTCTTTGGGGCCACTGTCCATGACGGCAGTATTTTTGTGGCAGCGGGGGTCACCGACACAGGACTGACCAGCTCAGCGGAGGTATACAGCATCACAGACAACAAGTAGGTGGCTTGCCCATCTCCTGCCACAATTGTGTGGCATCCGGCAGATGCCAGTCCTCTCTGTTGTCTGCCCTGGCAAGAGTCATAGGCCTGTCTCTGCTGTTGATTTTGGACATCCACACAAAAGTAGTCCCTCTCCTCTAATGAGCAGTGAGGTGGACTGGGGGCTTCCCCACAAGGTGGGGCAAGGGTTATTCAGGAGAGGCTGCCACCCCTGCCAGGTGGCAGCCAAGGATGCCAAATCCTTCATTCAGGGACCACTGCCAGGCAATGGCTTGGTGCTGGAGATATAGGGGTGAAGAGATGGGAGCTGCCCAGTCTGGGTCATCAGGAAAGAGAAAACTCAAGCTGACTGACCAGCCAGACTCAGCAAATGAGGTGCGGGTGGGTGCAAGAAGCACGCCCCAAGCCAAGGAAAGTTGGTGCCAAGACAGGAGAAAGAAGGCAGGGCTCCCTGGAGGGAAGGCTAGATGGAGAGTGGTGGATGGATGGGGGAGGTGGGATAGCCTGTGCTGGGGCTGGAGAGGTGCCTGGAAGGGCTGAGGGACTTTACCCTGAGGGCAATGAAATGCTTCTGGAGGGTTTTAAGCTCCCATCTGTGTTTTACTAAAGTACCTGATGCCAGCTGGTGCACAGAAAGCAGATTAGGGACTTTCTAGGAGGCAGGGGGTCAGGAGTGCAGCTTTGGGGAGAGGTGATGGAGACTTGGAGCTGGGGGTGCAGTGGGGAGGGGCCAGAGGTGAGGCCTTGGAGAAATACTTAGGCCAGGATTTCTTACACTGTAACATGCACAGGAATCTTCCGAGGGTCATGTTCAAATGCACGTTCTGACTGTCACGTATGCAGAAAGCCTGAGAGTGTGTTTCTAACAAATGCCCAAGGAATGCTGATGATGTTGGTAGCAAGAGTTTAGGAGACAGAAGAAACAGGGCTTAAGGATAGACTGAAGGTTGGGAGAGAGAGGGAGAAGTGGATGCTTTTGAGTGAGAGTAGGAGGCCTGTTGTTGAAAGCCATTGTGGTCAGAGAGCAAAATGAGAGTCCAGTTAGGATATGTGGTTTGAGATGCCCAGGGTTCCAGGAGGCTCTCACCAGGGCAAAGGGAGGGCTGAGGTGGAGGGAGCTATCCTGTTGTCAAGGTACACAGAGGACAAGTTCCTTCAGGAGACAGGATGTGAGTAGCAGGGGCTGAGCTCTACGTCCTGAGAGATGGTGGGTGAGATGCCTTAACCCAGAGGGAGTCTGAGATGGAAGGCTGGAGAAGCAGAGATGAGGAAAGTCACACTAGCAGTGGCACCAGCTGCAAGCCCTGGGTTTCAAAGCCCTGCCAGGATGGATGGGAACCTCATGAGAGCAGTTTAGGACAATGGGAGAAAGGCCCAGTCGCAGGAGCCAGGGGAGTGGAGACACCTTGACAGCAATTAAACTGTGAGGGGGAAAAGGGATGATGTAGGAGTGCAAGGGAACAGGGGCTTAAATGTTCACCCAAGGGACAGATGACAGTGCTGACAGAGTGCAGGAGAGAAGGAGGAACGGGGGGACCCATGATGGACTCCATTGTGCAGATTGGATGGGATAACTCAGGGAAAAAGAAGGAGAGGGGAAGGGCAAGGGAATGAGGAAGGGTGTGAAGGCCAGAGGAAAAGGGGAGAGGAACAGGGTTGGGAGGCTCAGAGACCCCAGGCAGGAGCCCCAGGCAGGCACCCAAAAGGGTCAGTAAACAAAAGGAAGCCCTGGAAAACAGGAGTTGACCCCGGGAACATAAGAACCTGAAATCTGAACCTGGTTCAGATTTCAAAGGGATGCATCTGAAGCTGTGGACACTGCAATGGCAGGGACGGTCTGAAGCCCACCAAGTGATGCACCTCTTCTCCATCCCCCCCCAGGTGGTCCCCCTTTGAGGCCTTCCCACAGGAGCGCAGCTCACTCAGCCTGGTCAGCCTGGTGGGCACCATCTATGCCATCGGTGGCTTTGCCACCCTAGAGACTGAGTCTGGAGAGCTGGTCCCCACAGAGCTCAATGACATCTGGAGGTAAGCCAGCCCTGAGGAAGTCAGAAAGAATCCTGACCAAGACTGATGCCCCACTGTGCTATGGCTAGGCACTGAGGCCCCTGGGAAGCTCATCTGGGGACAAAGCTGGAATATCAACAGTGTCACAGATGGCAGCTGACCCAGGCCTAGGGCACAGACCCATGGAAATAGGGGCCCAGGTAGCAGCCAGACCTTTCCCACTCCTGTCTTCTGGGGCTTGGTCTGGAGGGACAATGAGACCAGGACTGGGAAGGAGCTGGACCCCAGCATCTGAGACGCTGCTTTCTATGGCTGGTCCTTTATGGGATGGGAAAGATGTTTTGGCCACTTGGACATCTTCTGAACTCAGTCATCCCCACTACAGCAGACAAACTCCAAAGAGCTAGGCCGCTAGTAGAGTGGGGTATGGAGGAACTTCTTGGATGTTTAGTGTGGAAACTCAGGAGGAAGGAATTGGTGTGTGCTTGTGATAGGTGAAGATCTTCCCAGAGTGAGGTGGACTTTGAGGAATGTGGGACCCTTGACAGGTAGCCTTTCTTGGAGAGGGTGGCTCTTCTTGGAGTGTGGGGTGGGTTTTCTTGGGGGTGGCTCTTATAGGGATTCCTTCCCAACAGCCTAGGAATTTTCCAGTGACAAATCTATCTAGATGCGGGACTGGGGGCACTTCCTGGAGGTGAGCCCCTGGCCAGTGCTTCTGTCTGGGTCCCACTCTGGACTCAGCTGACCAAGTTCCCCATCCTTCTCCCCACTCTCTCCTTACCCCAGGTATAATGAGGAGGAGAAGAAGTGGGAGGGCGTCTTACGAGAGATTGCCTATGCTGCTGGCGCCACTTTTCTACCCGTGAGGCTCAATGTGCTGCGCCTGACTAAGATGTGACCGGCTCCGGGACCTAACTGAGCACCCTGCCTATCCCATGGCTCCCATAGGCCTGGCCTTGGGGGTCTCCAGGGATAAGGCTGGGAGAGGCAAGCGCCCACCTGGACCCCATTATGATATCTGAGCATCTGCTTTAGCTGGGGAAGGGATTTTATTGCCCAGTCTTGGTCTTTCAGGCAGGGACAAGGAATTCACTGAGTCTCGCCTGGGTCCTCTTGGCTCCTAATCCAGAACCACAGGGAGGAATCCCAGGCTGCGTCCTGGCCCTGCCCTAAACTGGCTGTGGGAGCCAGTAAAGTTCCCTATGCACTGGCCCCTGGCCCGTCAATGGGAATGTTACCATTAAGTGTATCTTGCCGCGTAGATGTTTCCTTCTTTAAGAATAAAGTGGCTGGGTACTGGTGGCTTACACCTGAAATCTTAGCTACTTGGGAGGCTGAGATCAGGTGGATCACAGTTTAAGGCCGGCCCTGTCAAATAGTTTGAGAGACCCTCATCTCCAAAATAACCAGAACAAAATGGACTGGAAGTGTGGCTCAAGTGGTAGAGTGCCTGCTTTGCAGGTTCTAACCCCAGTTCCATTAAAAAAAAAAAAAAAAAAAGAAGAAGAAAAAGAAGAATAAAGTGGCTTGCAAGCAAACCACTTGGAGGTGCTCCAAGAGCCAGTACCCAGGTGGCTTGAAGATTGGGGGCTTCAGTAGTCCATTGTTGGGTTGTCAAGGTGGGTGGTCTCTGTCCTCACGTGCTGACTCCCCCACACTTTTGTATGACTTCTTCCCCAAGACCTAGTTACCTCCAGCTCCTCACCCAGCATAGACAAGCAACCAGGAGATTGCTGGGGAGAGGGTAAGGGAACAGCCAGGCTGTGTAGAAAAGTCTTTTATTCTATCGGTCAGGCCTCATCTGGCCGAGCCTGGGCCTGGGGCCCAGAAATAGCTGAGCAGAGCCTTCCCTCTGCCCCCTCCCACCTACTCTGGCTTCTCTTTGTCCTGCCTCTGTTCCTTCTCTAGTGCGAGGGTTCGCTCACGTTCCTTCACCAGCTGGACACCACAGTAGGTGACAAACAGGATGGCCAACGTGGTCTGGGGGAACCCTGTTGGGGAAGGAGCCATTGATGCCTGGAGAAACTCTTCTTCCCATCCCTCTCCCCTAAGGATGGCTCACCCTATTAAGTCTGTCAGGTGTTGGGGTGGGGGATGGACATTTCAGAAGGTCACGGCCCTTGAGGTTGATGCCTGGCACATTCTGCATTCCCACACCGCTGTCCCTTACCTGTAAGTAGCAGGCGTTGGGCAACCAGCTCTGTAAACTCAAGGCTGTTCAGGCTCACAAGGTTGTACATGATGATGGCCCAGAAGTTTATGGCTCCAAAGAGGGCCCTGACTCTCCGAGTCATCTGCTCCGACAGACGGGCCTGCTTGGTACAGGAAAGTGTTGGCAGCAAGGCAAGAGGCCCAGAGGAAAGAGAACATGGTTAGTCAGTGGCCTGGCCTAAGGGCAGTGGCTCTGGAGACATGCCTGTGTCTCTGGGAATCCCAGGCCAACTTTCCCTCCTTGTTAAACATGGAGAAGTTGAGGCCCAGTGATGGGATAAGATCTGACTAACATAGCCAGGTCAGAGTGTGGTGGGCCTGACCTACAGAAGATAGGGAAGGACAGATTCCCACTGCGTGAGCCATTGTCATGAAAAACAAGAAGGGAGTGATGAGAAAGCTCAAGACTGGGGACCAGGTGTGGCTGAACAACTCCAGAAAGCAGCAGTGCCACCTCCTCCTGTGACAAAATCAATCCCAGCCCATCTCATCCCCAGACTTTGCTCACCTCAATTTGTGCGAGAGGCTCACGCTCTGCCAGTTTCTGTACCCAGAGCTCAAAGTTGAGGCCAAAGCAGTTAAGGAGTGACCACAGGTAGACAATGTTGCAAGGTCCAAGCCACAGAGTGGTAATGGCAAATGTGGCAACTGAGGCTGCCAGCTCTGGGATCACAGCAGAGTGATCCCCACCAATGTGGTTATATACATATCTGCAGGGAATATAGGAGAAAGGGATGGGGGAGGAGGGCAGGTATGAGACAGGCAGAGACCAAACAACAAGAGCAGCCTTCCTCAATGTCGTCAACCTGGGGCATTCAACATTCCGGACTTTAGGTGCCTGTTCCTCTTCTACCTAACTTCAGATTATAGAGGCCTCAGCCTGGGATTCGTATCTTCTCTAGCTGTGTTCATTGACTCCCTAACTCTCTCATCCAGATTCAACACTTTGAATACTGTCCCTATGCAGATGACCCCCAAATTTGTATCTTTAGCACACTCTTTATCCCAATTCACATATCCAACTGCTACTTGAATGACTGATTCCCCCATCCCTGCCCAAATCAGCTCCAACCTCATCTCAGTCAGTGGCATCAGTCCATGAGTGGCTCTGGCTGTAGGCTTTGGGACCATCTTGGATTCTTGATTTCATCATCACCCACATCCAAGCTGCAAATTCCGTTGGTTCCACTCACTCCTGACCACTGCTTAGCCCCTCCACCACCACTGCCCTAGTCCTGGTGATCATCTCATAGCAAGAACCTCTTAATGGTCTTCCCCTCTACCTGGAATTCTTTCCCCCAGATCTTCTTATCACTCAAGTCTCAGTTCAAATATCATCTCAGAGGAGCTTGCTTCGACTCCCCACTAAAGAAGCCCTGTGGCCAACTTCTACCCCATTAACACTGTTTTACTTTCTTTCTAACACTCACCACTGTCTAAAATGATCTTAGTTATGTTTGTTTATCTATGTATGGCCTGTTTCTCCCCATCATACTGTAAGCTTCATGAGTTTAGGAGTTTTGCCACGTTCATTGCTGTATCCCCAGTGCCTAGAACTGCTTGGCACATAGTAAGTACTCAATAAATATTTGTTAAATAAATTTGATGGAAGACCAATTGAGTAACTAGCATCTCTATTCCTTGACCGCCTCATTTCCAGAGGTTTCCTCTCCACCTCATCTCAGTCACCTATTCCCATGGCCACATCCCAACTTTGTCGCCACTTGACTTTCCACCCCAACTTTAGTTCTTCAATCCATTTGCTCTTGTGACCCTCCCATCTTTACCATCCTCCCCAACAGGCTTATAGACAATGGCTCATCATTAGCAATAATCTAAAACCCCTTATTTATCACTTCTACCCATATGGGAGAGCCCAGTCACCTGTTTCCCCCTCCTCTGCACCCCAGCAGTTAAGCACTGATGGGAAAGCCACATCTTTCATACTGGAGTCTAAAACACACTGCCTCCTGCTCCACTTGGGCTCTCCATGATAGATCTCTCTAGGCAGCTTCTTCTCCCATGCTCTGCAGTGTCCCTTCTGCATGTAGGAATGTGTTCTGCCTCCCTTAGTGCCCCCACCCTGTGTCCCTCATCTGGCAACCTTGTCTTCTACTTCAGGTGGAATCTCACCCTTCTACTCTAGCCTACTGCCCATATGTCTGCACTGCCTTCTCTCCTGCCTCTTCTTCCTGAAGGTAGGCCTTGCTTGGAGTGCTTCCCATCACCTCTTCCCTCTTCCAGGTCCTCGCACCGATCAGTCACTCTCCATCCTGCATCCCCAGCTCCTTCTCTGCTGAGTTATTCCCTCATGCCCATTACTGTCCATCTGTAAAACATTTCTTTTCTCCCTCCAGCTGCTCCTCTGCCTTCCCCTTCAGTACCAAGGAGAGATCCACCCCACCCCCACAGATCCTCAGTTTCTTTCACTGTCCCTGCTTCTCCATGTCACCAACACTAATCCTCAGCCTCCAGGTTCCACAACCCTCAGCAGCACCAATCCAGATGTTCCCTCCATGTCAGGATGGTTTTCTGGCTTCTGGTCTGGAATCACCTGGCCGTGGTTCTACTTCTCTGTCACTCTTTCAGTCCCTTCTACTGACTCTTCCTTACCCCCAACCAGAGTCCTTTGAGGCCCAGACTCTGCTGTCTCCCTCTCTTTTCTTACTCTACTCTCTGTCCTTAGGACTGATGCACTCCAAGGCCTAATCCAGATGAGACCCCTACCTCAGTCCTCTAGACTTCTTTGAACCCCAGACCCTCAGACCCTGAATCTCCATGAGGATTTTTTAAACCAGTCATCTCTCTGGAAACCACCCCTCAGTCCTACCAGGCTGTAGACAGGAATCTGGGAGTCATTTCTCTCTCTTGGATACCTCCACTTTATACCAGGTCCCTTTCAGGCTACCGGCTATGTCTCTGCTCCCCCCACTTCCCTCCACCTCCAGGGCCCTCACCCAAATCCAAACCTAGACCTCTCCTGTGACCTCCTCACTGCCCCCTTGCTTCCTCTGGTCCAGAGATCAGTTCTATTGTGGACCAGTCTCTGCACTGCCCTGCTCAGACGCCTGGCAGGATTGCTGGGGCCATTTTCCACCCTACAAACCTTCACTCACTTGCAAAGCCAGTCGTTGATACCTCTATCGAAGTGCCTGTGGGGGCAGAGCAAATGGGTGTGAATCCACCAGATGCAGAGCCTCCAGGGCATGGGGGAGGAGGCTAAGGGAAAGTGGGGATCCCAGGGGCACCCTCCACTCTGCCTGCACTCACGTTTCCCCGAAGACATAGAGCACAGTGATGCACTTGGGAGGCTGAGGCGGGTCCAGGTGGTCCAAGCGCGCTACCGTGTTGACGACGCCAAAGAGGACAGCTGCCTTCACCCAGTCGTACACCAGGTTTGAATAGGCTAGGCCAGCTGGTGACAGGATGATGTCACTGTCTGGGGTTCATTGCATTGGCTTCCCCATATGGATACACAAATCCCAGTGAAGGGGCTGAGCCCTGACCTTCACCAGGACACTGAGAGTGGAGGTGTGGGTGTGGGGGAGGTTGCTTCTGCCTCCTCCCTTTGATGACTCCACCCTGTCCCTGCTTGGAGGAGGCACCAGCCTTGCTCACCCAGTTGCCAACAGCCCTGGTGAAGTTGGGCAGGCTGTTTGGGACACTGCTAATGCTAAGTCCCAAAGAATAAGTCCCTACTCCCACCCTTAAGGTGCTGTGTACCCTGGAGTGCAGAGAGTTCTTCTTGGAGTGGCAGCCCTACCCCCATCTCTGTCATGGAGACCCACCAAGGGCGCTGTCTGGGAGGCGGCTGGCAAACTTGAGGTCACTGGGGATGGTGAGGATGTAGAAGAAGTGGAAGAAGATGTCCACAGCCATTACGGTCACCACGCTGAGGCCCGCCTGGGCCCTGATGTGCCACAGCTCGCCTTCCGGCCTCACTGGTTCCACCTGGCTCACCTGGAGGGGCATGCCAAGTGTCTGGGGGATGCGAAGTGCCTGTGGGAGGAGCCCTGTCTGAGTGGGGAGTCACCAACTGCCTGGGGCGAAGGAGACATGGCTTCATCCAGGAGTCTGGCCTGAGGATGGGATACAGCCCACCTGGGAAGCTCTGTCTGAGAGGGGAGCCCTTGTTTGCAAAGGCAGACCCAGCCCTGTGCTGGCATGCCCTAGGGCGTCCCCTCACCTGAGCATGGAAACGATCAAAGGTCATGATGGGCCCAAAGAAGAAGAAGGGCAGGTAGAAGTTGTACTTGAGAAGATCAGCTAGGGAGTAGCGGCGGTCTGGGTGGGCACAGCATTCCAGCGCAAAGCTGGTGCAGCGCAGCACTGTGAAGCCACTGCCCCCATGAAACAGCACGTCTTGAAGATCAAAAGTGCCTGTTACAAACCCACTCTGGAAGGGAAAGAACAGGTTACTAGCTCTTGAGGCACTGGGAAAAAAAGCCCCCCTTCCAGCTTCCCATTGGGCCCTGTGTCTTCCCCTCCTCCAGATCCAGGTAACATTGGCCATTGCTCTATCTCAGCAAGGTGATGGAGCGGGAGATGGGGTGCATTGCACCTGCTGTGGTGCAGGTGGCCACCTTGTGGGCAGGGCATACCCACAAGCTTGAAAACAGGGGGAAGGGAGTATGTGAGAGGCAAGGGCTTTGGAGGAAGTAAGAGGTTAGGGGTCCTCCACATCCCTTCACCACCCTAGTGCACACCTGCCAAGAGATTAGGGGGTCCATCTTGAAGGAAGCCAGGCTGGCTAGACCAAAGCCAAGGCAGAGCCAGGGCTGGCCCAAGAGTGAGGCCACATAGAGGCCCACACAGTGGCCGAGCAGCAGCAGCAGATACCAAGGGCCCATTGTGCCCACCACAGCCAGGACTCCATACACAGCATACATCCAGGAGCGGAGCTGTGGAAGGGGAGAAGGCCTGGTTCACCTGTCTCTGTAACCAGGGGTGAGATTCCACAATGGATTTTTCAAAACTTTTGTGGCTAAGGAGGACGCCGCATAGCCCAGGTTCAGCTCACCTGGGGCGCAACCATTGTGCAGAGTTTAGCAAACAGCACGTGTCCAGAGAGGGCGAAGATGATGATGTTGCGGAAGGAGGTGAACCACATCACCCACTCGAAGTCAGCTACATCCTGGGGCAGCCCGGGGCAGGAGGAAGTTAAGGTATGGGGAGCAGTACTGGCCAGAGCCCCAGCACCTTCCCAGCCCCCATGTTCTTGTCATGATGCATTGGGCAAGAGCCCCTCTGGAGGAAGTGCACAGGCGCATAGGAGAAAGGCATGATGGCTCCTTGTGTAGGGCTCTGCCCCTCAAGGCTCCCTGGCTCTACTTTAGCACATTTCCTGACATTACGCCATTATTACTTATTCCTGGAAAGGTGGTTCTGGAAGTCCCTGCTCGAAGCACACTTTGTCTTAGAGGACCCATTTCCTAAATGTGCAAGGCTTGGGGAGAAGATCAAGGTGTTGAAGCTCAAGCTAGAGTTGTGAGAGGATTTAGAATAGTGGAGAGTAAGGAAGGATGGACCTTGGGCAGGGACCCCAGAGGGTGAGGAGACCTACCATCTTCCGGCCAATGTACTCCCAGCCAGGTCGCACAGATTCCCGGAAGGCCTTCCTGTGGGCCCCATCTGAGAACAGAGCATGGCTTCAGGGAGGAGCCTTTCCCAGCCCTCCCCTGCCCGCACTGTCCTGGGGTGAGGGAATGAGTCTGTTAAGGACAGGAGTCTGCATTGGGGCAGAGGCCAAGGGAAAGTGGGTCACATTTTGCATCTGCTTCTTTCTGAGTCTCGCCATGTGTCTGGGCCCAGGTCACAATCCTTGAGTGAGTATGTGTGTGTGTGTGTGTGTGTGTGTGTGTGCGTGTGTGTGTGTGTGCGTGCATGCATGTGTGCATGTGTGCACGTGCACATGTGTGTCTCTGACAGAGTCCCTGGTCATCTTTGTCCCCTGGACTGTGTCCAATCCCCATGGCCTTGGAATACTCTGGGTCTGAATCCTGTAAGTTTCTGGTCCTGCTCTTTGGAACTCTGAGTCTCCCAGGAGAAGAAGCAGCATACCCTCCCCCTACCCCAGGGCCCAACCATTACCTTGTGATGCCTCAAGGAGGCCCCGGCCAGCATAGGCCAAGGCCCCACTCAGCACCAGGGAGTAGAAGCCCAGCTCAGCCGCGGGCAATGCTGTCTTGATGCCCATAGCCTGGACGGGACTGGGGGAGACAGGTCAGGTGAGGGCACCATGCTGTCTAGCCCCACCTCATGGACCTGCACTGGTGTAGCAGGGCCCCACTCTTTTCCACCCATACCAAGGGACCTTGTGTCCCCCCCATTGCTCCCCTCCCAACTGTTGCTCTAGTTCCTGCCCTTCCCACTGGAAGCTCTTGAAATCTAGTCTACAGCAGCCCACCTTCCTCACCTTTGTTTACTCCTTCATACCTTTCAGCTGGGCTGGTGCCCACCCTCTACCAAAACTGCTCCTGCCAAGGCCCCCATGCACTTTCATGTGGAGAAACCCTACCTCTAGCACCTCAATCAGGTTTCTATCCCTCAGGGTTCACCCACACTTCAGTGAGCCTCCTTTGGCTCCTGACACAGCTCCTCCCACCCTGAGATTCCTTTACTGTCCCTCTCCCTGAGCTGCCTTTCCTTTCCTGAAGTCCTAGGATATCTTTGGGAGTCCTACTAGCACCCAGCCTCCATCTCTCCCTCACCCAGCTTCCAATCTCATCCTGGTCCCATTCCCCCCAACCAAGTCCCTGAGCTCTAGCCAGCCTCATCTCTGGTCCCTGCCTGTGTCCACACATTGTCCCCACTCTCCAGGCTCTGTGTACTCAGGTCCCGGTTGCTTGCTGGAGGCTGTGCTATTTGAAGAGGTGCCCTGGACAAGTGGGTGTAGGGCCAGGCGGGCACTGGGAGGGTGCTGGCTGCTGTCCAAGGTGCTGACCGGTGTCAGGCCCAGGGTGAATCTAGCCACTCCCTCCAGCCAGGGCCCAGCTTGTCCTCTGGAATCTGAGAGGCCTCAGCTAACACTTATGCCCCTCCCACTCTGCTTCAGCCTAGCCTCATATCTTCCTAAGCTTTCCTTTGTTGCACACCTGGGACCTAAATTAAAGAGAGCACCACATCTAGGTATCCTCTTGGGCTGAGTTTGGGCCAAGAGGTGGCTGGTGTAGCCTTGCTTCCTACCCCAGATCCTCCCACAAATCACAGATCAACCCTGCAGCCAGGTCTCCTGGGCCCCAAGAGCTGACGTTCTCTCCATTATACAGATGGAGGAGTCATGGGCCAGAAAGGGGCAGGGACACAATACAGGTACACAGCCAGACTCCTCTAAAGTCCCAGAGAGCCCCTCCAGAATCTCAGATAAGACAAGGCCATTGCTGCCCTGTCCAGGTCAGGGAGCTGCCAGCAGGACTTTTGCACCACTGGCCTGAGGGCTGAGACACCTCCTATCAGTGGTGTGGGGGTAGGGAGGCCCTGGGGATCAGGTTAATGGAGCAGGAGCTTGAAACCGGAGCACAGTGAAGAGCCCGCGAAATAGCTTTGTCAGCTGCCTCCCACTCACCACTTTCCAATTTTAGCTCCCCATGGCCGGTGCAGAGTGTCCCAGTGAAGAACTGGCCCCCAGCTTGGGAGCTATCCTGTTAGACCCCCAGATCTGGGCAGGCCTGTGAACTCAAAGGTGCCCCCTTCTCCTGACGCTACCTGCCTCAGGTGTACCTGGAGTAAAGCCCACCTTGGGGCCTGTGATCTGGGATGAGAAGCCTGGGATGGGACGCTCCCCCCACCCCCAGTTTCAAGGGCCCCAGTATGGCTGCATCCCCAGCTGGCACTGACCTTGAGGAGGCTGCAAGGGACCCTGGCACACTGCCCACCTCGGGGCTTTGGGGTCCTGCGTCCAACTGTGCGTCTGTCCGACCGGCTGAGCTCAGGGCCACGATGGGGTGTGTCCAGCCCTGGGGTCCCCACCCCCTGGAGGCTAGATCGGTGAGTGGTGACAGCAGGAGGAGGAGGGGGAGGAGGAAGAGGCCAGGGAGGAGGTAGCCTTCCTGGAGCAGAACTGAGCAGAGTGGAGCTGAGCCGAGTGCTGCAGAGCTGCTGGCCACAGGGAGCCGCAGAGATGATTGGGGGGGGGGCAGGGAAGAAAGGGGTGGCCAGAGGCATAGGCTCAGACAAGGACACCTGGGCCTCTCTTCAGCTTGCATTCCCTCACCCCTAGATGACCTGAGCTTCCCTGTTGCTGCTAGCCTCTTCCAGGAAGCCTTCCAGGTGGCCTCTCCAGACTTGTATATCCTGCTCCCACTGCACAGTCTCACACATTCACACACACGCACACACCCCTCAGCTCTGTGGACTCCAGCCTCCACCTTTACCTGTGACCTTTCCAGGGCTGCCCATCTAGCCCCTTGCCCCGTTCCTTTTCATCAGGCCAAGAGTCCAGGCTAGACAGGCATTAGTGGAGGACTGGCTTGCCTAGTGGGGTTGGCACTGGTGTGCATTATGTGATTGAGGGGGCCCCCACACCCAGCCTGTCTCACAGGAGGTTGTCTGAATGGAGGGGCGCTAGCAGGATCACTTATTAAGGCTTGAGTGGCACTTGGAATGGCTGGTATCCTTTCATGGCAGAGGAGGGGGAGGGAGGAAGACAGGATTCTGGGGAGGGATAGCCAATGCCTAATGGAAGGGGTCATCCTGATGGCACCTTGAGAGCTCAGGAGGCCCCATAGCCTGGGAGAATTGAATGTGTTTGTGCCATGTCTGTGGGGACCTGTTCATGTATGGGCTTGGGAAAATCTTTGGGGTGGAAGAGGCTTTGTCATTGTCACCAGTCACAGGACACTCCTGAAGCCCCTGCTGACCCCCAGACCCTGTTGTAAGCTAAGTTGAGGATGGGGAGGATGGTGCTGTTCCCTACCATACAGGTATGTGACATTCTGGTCCAGGGGAGAAGCCACGAGAGCTGAACACATACACTCCACAGAGGCTGACCCAGAGGCCCCGTCACTGGTCCCTGATGACAGGGACTAATGCACCGTTTAAGGGAAGGTCAGGGCTGCAGCTGGGATTGTAGATGCTAGAGAAGGCCAGAATCAGGGAAGGAAGGGCACCTGAGTCAGACTCCAGGCTTCTTGGGGGTGGTGTGGGGGCACCTGAGCAGTCTTGGGGTGGGAGGAGTCATTAATCATAACAGCTAGGATGCACGTGGATTAACTCTTTTTAATGTCACCACAGTCCATTGGGAAATTGTTACAATTATCCCAGCTAGCAGAAGAGAAAGCTGAGGCACAAAGGTGGTTGAGTGGTGAGCCAGTCGCCAAGCTTCTGGAACTGACTGCTTGATCCAGGGAATCCCAGTTCAACCACCCTAGGGGGTTGAGACTAGCCTGGCCAGTTGTCCACTGGTGCTGGTTTGAAAAAAGGACTCAGGGAGATGACAGGGTGATCTGCCTCATGGCCAAGCCAGCTGACCTAGACCCGTGCTTCAGTCCACTGGGGTGAGTCCCTACCCTGGGCCTCAGACCTTCATCTGTAAAGTGGACACCCTATTGCTTGGTCTCTGGGTTCTTGGGGGGATCCAGTGCCTCACTCCATGACAAGGGCCTAACTCACTGCTCATAAAGACAGGCTGTTAGGAAACCACAGCCCCCAGAGAGTCAGGGTCCACCTAACAGTGACATGTTCCCTGTGACCCCCACACTGCTGGACCTGCAGTGATGGTGGCTTATAGGTGTGGCAAAAGAAATGGAGTCAAGGGATCAGGGAGGCCCCTTGACTCAGGGTTGCCCAACTCTACTGTGTGAGGGGCAGTAGGACGGGGCATTTACCATGGTCAGCCTGTGAAGCGAGAGACAAGAAGCTGACTGGGCTGAGACTGGCACAGGGACGGGGATCAGCTTCCCAAATGCCATGAAGGCTACTGGGAAAGGTATGGTGGGGAAAGGGGCAAGCATCAGAGTCCCTTTTCAATTCAACTTTTTATTATTTGTTGCTTCTCAAAGTAAAAACGGGGAAGTATCCTCTGTGTGTGTATGTACACGGTTGTGTTCTGTGTGGGTTGTGCATGTGAATGCTTTGGGGTATGGTGTATTTTTCTCGTGTGGATGTGTACCTTGTGTTTGCTGTGTGGTGTTTGAGTGTGACAGATGCAGTGTTGGTGGGTACATAAGGCACAGGGGCTACAGGAGAGACCATGTTGGGGTAGGCAGGCAGAGATGTCCTTGTGCTGAAGGGTGACTATGGCCATGTTGGGGATGGGTGTGGGTGGATGTTGTCCTGGACACTGGATATGGGCCCACAGGAGCACCCCTGCTGGAGGCCACCATGCCCTGGGGTCCCTGGGACCAGGGGAGGACCCGATGGCAGTAAAGAGCATTTGACTTAGCCTGAGCCAGCCTGCAGCCTTGTCCACCTCAATTGTGATGCCCTAGAGGTTCCCATGGGGACAGCAGCCAAATCACATCCACAGCTCAGCTGGGTCTCCTGGTCAATGCCAGATCCATGGCACCTCCCTGGCGTGGCCAGGGGGTCATTACATGAGGCCACTCCACCATCTGCTTTTTTACTTGCCCTTGCCCCTTGACTCTCCAGGGCTCTTGCACCCGTTCATTCTCATCCAGCCTGCTGTCAACCTGCCTAAGGGATGGGGACGTCATCCTCAGTGGTCCAGTGCTGCCAGGAAGGTTTATGCATACCAGCTGGACAGAACAAGCTGCCCTTCTTCTTACCCAGCCTACCTGGATCAGGTCCCTCAGGGTCCCAATCCCTGGCTCCCTTTACCACACCTCCTGGCCTGGGAACCCTGCAGGGACTGGGGTGGGGAGGCTGTGGTGCCAAGGCTATCCCTTCATCTTTCCCTCCCACCCGCCCCATCATAGCCTCCCGTGCTTCTGACTGGACCAGGAGCTCCCTGAAAGAAGGAAGCAAGCCCTCCTGGGCTTGGAGAGGGTGGCAAGCTAGGTGCTCACAGCTTGTCTGGACCAGGAGCTCCCTGAAAGAAGGAAGCAAGCCCTCCTGGGCTTGGAGAGGGTGGCAAGCTAGGTGCTCACA